ACCTTGCAATTTTCCCATTAAAGATAAAATACACAGAGAAAAGGACAAAGGGATGCTCCTACAATAATGCCTAATTTTAATTCCAAACTCTTTTCAAGGTCTTCCACTTTACACCCTTCCCTTCCTTTCCTCTCCCCCTTACCTAACCCCTTGGCCAGGTGAGGCTCCTGATTGCTTTCCTTGTCGGAAATGCCCTACTCCCTAAGTGTGTGTTTGGGGGGAGGGGGGGACAACAAACCCTGCTACTCTTGAAGGAATTTCATAACCAAGAGACCAATTTAGGAATAAAAAGATGTAAACATCTGGCAGGTGCAGTAAGCCACTAGGCCCACCAGAGACAGAGGCGGCCCTTGGAAGCCAGTCCCCAAGTCATAACAGGGCAAGAAAATGGGAAAAGCTTTACTACCTCAGGTAGGCCTGCCCTCGGCTTCAAGGCCCGCATATCCTGGTACGTCATCTATTTCGATTCTCTTGACCCTTCAGCATTGCAACCAACCCACCATTCCCTGCAGCCTACTCCAAAAAGGAACTGGGCCAATAGGTACCAATGGTCTCTGCCTGCCTGTCTGGACAGCATGATAGCCTCTGGGGGAGCAAGTAGGAAACCTTTGCTATCTCTATGGTTCTCATCCTGTGGGTGAGTCCTAAATTGCCACATAGCTAGTTATTATGTCTCATCTTTGCTGATGCTATAAGTCATTGCCCATGGGCAAAACTTTTAAACCGGGACCTCAGAAACGGATCTGAATCTGCTTCTTCCCGACCTGACCTTTCCAGTCATATTTCACATTTTCACATTCTAGCCAGACTGAACTACCTGCTGCTCGCTAATTTAATCCCAACCTCTTTTACCTCATCCAGAAACTGGCCTCTCTGTCTAGAACTAATTCCTTTCTCTTCTTTGACTATTCAAAGTTTTCTTTTCATCCAAGGCCCAACTTATACGTCCCATCTTTCATGAAGCCTTTCCTGATCTCCTGGCCAAGTGAACTCTCCTTTGCCCCTGTCATCCCATCTTCTAACATGCATGCATGCATACATACATACGTGTGTGTGTGTAGACATATATTTATATATAGCCTATCTCTACGTAAGATTATAAGTTCCCTGAGGGTTCCCAGCACCAGTCATATGGTCCTGGACACAGTAGGCAGTTAATAATTTTTATTGAATTGAGTTAACAGTAACTCTTGGGGATGAAATTTTCAAACTTACCCAGAGCACACAGATGCCTTCTCCCAGTGCTGACTTCAATGAGTCTGCAAGTAACACACAGCTTGGCATTTATTTTTTTCTCAAATTTCCTATGGACTGTTTAGCTGCAAAGGGACAGTTCTCAAACCTATCCTAAGCCAAAATAAAGTATGTGCTAGGGAAAGGTAACCACAGAACCCAGACACCAGGGAAAAAACCCTACCCATACTCCTACAGAGACGCAACACAGTCATAGTCATTCAGGAAACTAATAAGCATTAATTAAGCATTTATGATGTGCCAGGCATAGTGCTAAGCTCTGGGGATACAAAGAAAGACAAAAGATAGCCCATGCCCTTGAGAAGCCCACAATCTAATGGGGGTGACAATATGAAAATAACCACGTACAAACAAGCTCTGTACAGGATAATTGGAAATAACTGACAGGGGGAAGGCCCTAGAATTAAGAGGGGCTGGGAGAAGCTGTCTTCAGAAGGTGGGATTTTAGCTGGGACTTGAAGGAAGCCAGGAGGCTGAGATGAGGAGCATGCCAGGGACAGGGAACAGTCAGGAAAAATACCCAGAGCCAGGATATGGAGTTGGTTGTTTGTGGAACAGCAAGGAGGCCAGTGTCCTGGATGGAATACAGTATGTGGGGTGAGGGGTGGGGGTATGCACAGTGTCATGAGGTTTAGATCATGGAAAGAAGCCACAGTGTAATATAACCACATGTACCAAAATATACTTCAGGTAAACTGATTCTCTCTTAGGGTAAATGATAGATCTATTTCCTATCAGATTCTATGCACCAGTGGGTCAGGCTGTGATTTACCCATCTGGAATAGGAGGGTATTGACCCAAAGTCCTCATGGGATGAGGTTTTTAACTGGAAGAGACTTTAGAAAAGATCTACTCCAATCTACCCATGGTAAAGAAACTGGGCCCAATAAGTTTAATTCACTTACCCAAGGTCACCAAGGTAGGAAGGATCTAAAACCAGTATTCCCACCACTATATGACTCGTTACAGCCACCAGCTCTAACAGTCTGTTGTAGGGTGCCTTCCAACTCTAACATTCTACATTCTAAAGACTCTTCCAGGGGAGCCAAGATGGCAGAGTAAAAAGTAAGTCACTCTCACTTTCTCTTACTGACCTCTGAAAGTCCAGAAAATATCGCTCCAGGAAAAACCCAAGAACAGCTAAACCAGCAGAAAGACAGGGTGCAGCAGTCTTATAGCCCAGGAAGCTTGGGGGATTAACAGGAAAGGCCCCTCTTGCTCTGGGGGAGGAAGAGCAGTACAGGATGGCAGGTGTCCCGGCAAGCCCCACTTCAGCATACCGGGGGAGATTCTGAGCCCCAGGGTGGTGGAGCAGACAAATACTAACACCAGGAACCATGAATGCCTCAGTACAGGCAGGGGAACTGGTAGACACCACCTTGGAAAACCACCAGCACTGTGTGTTCTTTTATCAAACCAAAAATGAAAGTAAGACAAGTTTATTCACTACCAACCTTAACTCTCTTGTTGTCCCTATGACCACCACCATGATCAACTCAGCTCAGGAAATAAAGAATGGCATTTCTTTTCCAAAAAAAGGTTTTCCCTATTGTTCCCACATCAGACTGAAGGGAATGGGTTAGAGGAGGAACTGAGAAAGAGGAAGAAATTCCTTTTAACTTGTTTTACAATCTATTCTCTTTTCAGCTTCTCTTCCCAATCAGCAGCTCTTTTTCCTATCCCTAAACATCAAACTATTTTTGGGTATTTCCCAGTTTTAAGGGTTGATGGTCAGAGGAATGGGCATCTGAAGCATGACCAAATTAACAGGAGATAACTATTAAGATAAGGACATGGCTAATCTTATATCTCTATCCTAAATCTCCCCAGGGCTTCAGTCTTGAATCTCCAACTGTCCACTAGACATCTTCACCTTAATGTGCTACCAGCATCTCAAAATTAAGATGACCCAAAATGAGCTTGGCCTCTGTCCCCTAAAACCTCTCTTTCCCTGACTTCTCTATTTCTGTTGTTGGCACCACAATCTTCCCAATCCCTCAAACTTGAATCCTTGGGGTTCTCTTTGGCTCTTCCCCTACATCTAATCAGCTATATCCTACTGATTTCTACTTCCAAGATATTACTTGCCTCTAATACTCTCTTCTCTAGTCTTACAGATACTACACTTATTCAGGTTCTATCTCTTCTTACCTAAACTACTGTAATCATCTCTCAACTGGTTATTGCCTCCATTACCTTCCCTCTAAAATTCATCCTTCAGACTATACAAATGAAGCAGGATAGATAAAAGCACTATGTAAACCACATGTATTGCTGTTATAAACCCCTAATTATAGCATTCAAGGCCCTTCACAATTTGACTCCAATCTGTCTTATCTCATAATACTCCTCACAAATTTTACCCTCTCTTTAATTGTCTTTGCGCCTATCATCCCAAGATTCTTGAAATGAATAGACGTTCCAGCACTCTCTCTTCTTTTTTAATTCTCCCCCTTACCTTCAAAGTCCATCTCAGGTTTCAATTCCTATATGAAGTTCTCCTCTCCCCCACCCTGCTCATCCAGGTAAAAGGAAACTCTTTTCTCATATTTCTTATAGCCCTTTACCTGGGCACTTGTATTGTATCAGTTATTTGTGCATTTGTCAAGAGGCTTTAATAGACCCAGAAGGAGCTGAGAATGTTTTATCTGGATGAGAGAAGGCTCAGGGAGGGACAACGATTTTTAGTGGCTGAAAGGATATTATTAGGAGGAAAGAACAGTTTGTTCTGTTTCATCTCAGAGGGCAGAACCAAGGACAATGGGTAGAAGTTATCATGAGGCAGAGAATGCACATTCTAATAAGAATAGCTATTCAAAAGAGGAACAGGTACCTAGTTCAGCCGGTTCCACTTCACTGAAGGTCTCTAAGCAAAGAATGGACAATCATTGTTGGGTACTTCTTTGATTCCACTCCCCTCCCACGCAGTCTAAGTCCTTGCTCACATAAGACACTTAGTTACCATTAGCTGAATCTGTCCCAATACAATATAACCACAAAGCAAAGCAAAATTTAGAGGAACTTTCTTCAGGTTAAATTCAGCAGAAATATTGTTGTTTGAAATAACAACAACAAAACCTAATTAAGTTAAACGTTGTTTAAATTTCATTCTTCCTCCTGTATCCCCAGTGCACAGTACAGTGCCTGGAGTACACAGTAGGCGCTTAATACATGCTTGCTGATTATGTAAAACGACCTCAGTCGACAGCAGCACAAGGAACTCAAAGTGCCAGATGACCACCACGAAGGGCTTCATCAAGGGCCAGGGAAACGTGCCTGGTGAGTCACACCCCGACAGCCCTCGGCCAGGAGGTATCCGAGTGCAGAAAGCCTGCGAGCCCCTGAGCACGCGACTCAAGTTTCACGCCTCCATCCCAGTGGCCCCGGGGGATGGGGGGCGTGGGGACAGCGCAGGGCTGGGGGCCCGGGGTTTGGGGGACCCGGGACTCGGCCTTTATGGCAACGTGATGCTGGTCACGTCTGGGCAAAACCAAAGGCAGATGAGGCCCCCAGCGGCGCCAAATCAGCCCAGGTGCCCCCACGCAACCGCGAACAGCGGCGGCTCTCGGCCCCCCGGGGCGCGTATGTCCCGTCCCGGCTCCCGTCCTCGGGCTCCGTCTCCGCAGATCCTGCCTGTCCCCTCCCGGCTCCCGTCGCTTCAGCACGGCTCCCGGAAAGCGGCGGGAGGGGAGAGGAGATCCACCAGTGTGGACGCCCGATCCGGCCCGCGTCCCTCGTCGCCTCACCTGCCGCCCGGGCTCCGACGGTGGAGGCGGAGGCCGTAGCTATTCCCGCTGCGGCAGCCAGCTTCTGCCAGACGCACCAGCTCATGGAGGCGGACTCCAAGGAACGAGCGCGGCCCCGCCCCCTCTGCGTCATCCCCGCGCGCCGTTGCGAGGCGACGCGGACGCGCCGCCCTCGACCTTCTGCCTCGGGTGTGCGAGCCACCGCTCCGCGTAGCCGTCTGAGAGTCTCCCGGACGCTACTCGCACCGCAGCCCCGGGAGGTAGGTAGTTCGGCGGCCGTGGTCCGCACTTCCGTCCCGATTCACGGCCTCAGGCCGCGTGGATGGCCGGGAGACTTGTAGAGGGAGGCCGCCCGGGAGCGGGGAGGGACCAGGCCCTGGCTGTGCCTACGGCCCTTCAGCCGCTGATGCAAACCCGACCCGGCCCCAGTGTTGTGTCTCTGAAGCCATGGTGACCCGAGCATCCAGGCCGCAGGAGCTTCCCTGGCCCGGGAGATGGGGGGAGGTCGGGGGAAGGAGGGAGTACTTGAGCCCTGGCAGGAGACCCTCGTCTTAGGTTCCTTCTGGTTTCCCGTAAGATTGGCCGCCGCTGCCTGTTCTGTGCCCCTGGGCCAGCTTGAGCTGTGACTCAGGGGGTGTTGGGACAGCGTCTTTGGGAGGGAATACAAGTTCTGAAACCTTGCCCCCAAGCGCTGTGCAGATTCAGCCCTGGCCTTCCCGTAACAGATTTTTAAAAGTCTCTTGTCATTCAGGTGTAGTGAAAGTAGCACTGGACTTGAAGTCAGAAGTGGTTTTGAATCCCAGTTTTGCTGCTTGTTAACTGTGTGACCTTAGGCGAGTCACTTCCTATTTTTCGTTCACACTGCAAACACCCTAAAAGTTCTCATGGCTTCTTGCATGGACCTCCTCATTGGCTTCCCAGTCTCAAATTTTTTGCCTCTAGAATCCACTCTCCACAAAGCTGCTAAATTGACATTCTTAAAGGACAGGTCTAATCATGTCATTCCCCTCCTCAAGAAGCTTCAGTAGGTGCCTGTTTCCTTTAGGATAAAGTACAGGACCCTCTTTGTGGCATTTAAATCCCTTCACCTTGTGGAGTTCCCCTTTAGAAATTGTAACTTCCAGTCAAACTTTGCTACTTGTTGTGCATAGTTCCTTATTAATGCTTCTGCACAGGCTGTCTCCCATGCCTGGAATAGTCCCCTTCCTCTGCCTCGTGGAAGCCCTAGTTTCCCTGAAAGCTACCTCAAGTGCTACCTCCTTTTAAGAGGCTTTTCTGGATTTCCCCAATCCTTAGTGTCTCTCCCATAGAAATTATTTTGTATTTACTTAACGTGTTGTTATTTCCCGCCCCCCCCCCCCAGTTTCTTCCCTTCCTTGAGGGTAGAGACTGTTTCACTTTTGTCTTTTTCCTGAACACCTAGTACTTAATATAGATAATAGATAGGTCGAAGAGCTGTATCTGTTTTTTGGGGGGGAATAAGTAGGGAATTCCTGGTAAGGAAATCCCCTCTATCAGTTAAGATCAGCATCTTCTTTACCACTTGATACCTTAGAGAGTTGCTTGGGGGCACTAAGAGTTTAAGTGGCTTGCCTAGAATCACAGCCAATATGGGTCAGAGGCAGGATTTGAACCCACATCTTTCTGACCCTAGAGTGGTTGAGTTAAATTGAATCTCTAAGGCAGGGATTCTTAACTTTTTTGTCTGTGTGTCATGGATCTCTTTTGCAATCTAGGTGAAGCCTATATATACTTCTCAGAATAATTTTTTTTTAATTCATGATTGAAAGACATGCTAAATTCCAGTTAGAGATTATTGAAAATAAAAATGTAGTTTTTTTATTTTTTGTTTTTCCCTATTCAGATTCATAGGCCCCAGGTTAAGAACCTTGTTCTAGGGCCGACTTTCCATATCTCTAAAATGATGGATTTAGATTAGATGATCTATAAGGTCCCTTGTAACCGTAAAATCCTGATTCCTTGTCAGTTTATTTACTGTTAACCAAGCAATGTACAGTTTGTCAGCCCTTTGAGCCCCTTGAAAACTTTAGCAATACCCTAATGACATTCTAATCAATGTTTCCCAAATTACCTAACATGAGTCTGGGAGAGTCAGACCCCTTACCTAACAGCTGTGTGATTGAAAAGGTTGGGGGCATAGGGCTCAAAGGAATTTCGTTTTATGGTTTTTAGGTAGGGATAATTTTAAAAGAAGGATTCAGCTAAAAAAGATGTCTCATTTTGTTGGGCTGCAGATTGTACCCAAAGTATACATCAGATAATATTTTGGTGCTTTGGATGTGATGAGGCTCAGTTGACAGCTGAGTGAAGAGGGCCTCCATCTCACCAGCTGCTTGAACCATACCAGGGACAAGAATGGCAGCTGTGAGAAGAGTGATTTGGTAAGCACAAAGCTCTGACATCGTATGAGCATTAAACCATGGACAAGTACTTCCTTTTTGTTAATTATTCAGAAAATTTTCTGTATTTACCCTTCCAGCTTTATCATCTACTGTTAGAACAACTTCATAACAATAGCACTCACATTTAAAGTTTGGAGAATGCTTTCCTTATAATACCCAGTAAGGTGTGGGCATCCTTATTTTATAAGTGAAGAAACCTCATCTCAGAGGAGGGAAGCGCCTTGTCCGTAGTCACACAGCATAAAGCATGGAAGAATTAGGGTTCCGTCCAGGGCTTCTGACTCCAAGTCTGGGATTCTTCTCTCTCTGCCGGCTGTGTGGCTTCCCCCCATGAACATACCATTCCTCCAGCACAAGTTTACTCAGTACTTCAGGAGCACTTCGTATCCATTTGCTCATGGTGTTTGCCCTGTATAGATGCCCTTTTCTTTGTCCAAGTCCTAAATGTGAGTTACAAAGACCCCACCTCTTCCCTGTAGGCTTCCTCATCTCCTGCAGCTTCCCCCCCCCCAAGTTATATCTATTGCTACTTGTTAACTTATATTTTAAAGTTTTTTTATGTGTTTATATCTTAGCTCTTCTGCCAGAAATTTAGGTCTTCAAGGGTAGAGACTATGTCTTACTGATTTTTTGTGTCTCCCACAGTACCTGCATATACTAGGCACTCAGATATTTGTTAGTTGAGTGGAGGAAAAAAAAACAACTTGGAGAATCTGTCAGAATCAGATGGCAGTTTCAGAAACATTTAAAGATTTTTAAAACTTTTCTTTTTCTTGTCCCATGGGTAACTTGGAGAGCCTTTGAAAATGCCAGGTGTTGGGGCAGCTAGGTGGCACAATGGATAGAGCACCGGCCCTGGATTCAGAAGGACCTAAGTTCAAATCCAGCCTCAGACACATAACACTTACTAGCTGTGTGACCCTGGGCAAGTCACTTAACCCCATTGCCTAGCAAAAAACAAAACAAAAAAAACCCAAAACCGAAAAACGAAAATGCCAGGTGTTGGATATGAAGGAATGTGTTGAGAGGGTCTTTGGAAGCCTAAGAAAGATGTTTCACTTTGACCAGTCAGTCTTTTAAATCCTTGCATTACTGCTATTCTTACACCTTCCCTTGAGTGTGAAGCAAGTATCGGCATAATTTAACACCAAGAAAATGAGTAAACACTAAGACTTTAAAAGAAAAATTTTTTAACTGCTTCAGAATCTCTGTAATTTCAGGTGTGCTCAGTCCTGCCCTTCGTTTTATTAATATCCCTGGGGATTAATGCAGCTTAACTTTATCCTTGACCAAAATAGCTTCTGTTGAGGTCTGGTCTGTCCATATGCAAAAACTTTTATCCTTATTACCCATAAGTAACCCCTGGAAGAGTCAAAAACTAATCACTTTTCATAACTGAAAGTCATTCTTATTTTCCAGCAGTGGGGTTAGTTAGTTCTGTTTACTACAACTTACCACACTGATTTTAAGTGTCTTCAGAATCACATTTTGCTAACAACAAATGTTTAAAAAGAATACTGTCCCCTGAGTACACAATAACACACAATAACATGGTTTGTCAGTCAGTCAGCACTCTAATCATCACCCAACAAGGCTCAGTTTTGTGCTATGTATTGTGGGTTGTAGGGAATGCCAATATAAGTATAAGCCCTGGGCCAGGAGCTTGCTCTGAGATGGAACGAGCACTTTCCTCAGTCAGATCTGTCTTCTGAGTTTATATCTTGAATTTCCATGTCACTATAATAGCTCTTTACCGACAGGTTCTTTTTTTGCTTGCTCATTTTTGCATCCTTTTTCTTGACTTTGGACTTTATATTAGAGCTGGGCTCTGCTTACCTTGGGTTAGGGGTTACTGGGCTGAGCTCCAGTCTTTTATATCCTTCTGCTGCTTTCATGGCTAGTTCTGGTCACTGCCCTCCTGGTCTGCACTCTGGTCCTTAGCTAGGTAGACCCCTGCTCCCTTATGACTACTTACACTCCTCTTGGCCCTGGAACTATAACCCAGGGCTGGGTAAGGGACAAAGGAACTGCCACATGGTGCCTAATCTTGTGCCCATTGCTAGTACAGGTGTCCCCAGGACCTCTTTCTGACCAGGTGTTCAGTCCCCTTATTGTTATAACAATAAGGTGCCCCTAGCCCCCACCCTAGTGTTCATAGACCTCTCTTTCTGTCCTAAGCTTCCCTGGACTGGGAAAGTAACTCACTGTGACTTTTTGTTGGTTATCTCACTCAGAATTCAGTTTGATGCTTTCTAAAGTTATTTTGAGAATTGTATTGGAAGAGCTCCGCAAAAATGCTTACCTCACTCTGCTATGTTGGCTCCTCCTACCTCTTTTTAAATGAGATTGGAAGATCTGAATCGGAATCCTAGCTCTGGCAGTGACTTGCTGTATAACCTGTACAAATCACTTTGCTTTTCTGAATCCATGTTTTCTCATCTGTAAGATGAGGATGATAATCCTTGTACCAGCCACCTGACAAGGTTGTTATAAGGAAGAAAATACTTTGTAAACTTTAAAGTACTATAAAGGAAGTAAGGAGATATTTTTGTAACTTCAAGCCCCTGGCTCAGGGATGGAGAAACTGTGGCCTCGAAGCCACATGTGGCCTTTAGGTCCTCAAGTGCAGCCCTTAACTGAATCCAAACTTCACAGAACAAATCCCCTTAATAAAAGGATTTGCTCTGTGAAACTTGGACTCAGTCAGAAAGCTACACCCAAGGACCTAGAAGGCCACATGTGGCCTCAAGGCCACAGGTTCCCCATCCCTGCCCTGGCCTATTGGTGAGGATTAAACAGCATTGCCTTACTAACTTTGGTAGACAAATCTGCATGGCTTTGTCATCTTTTTTATGTATAATGTGAATGTTTGATGGTAGTTTCATTGAATGAATGAGAATGCCCTTGACTCATCAGAATCTTTTCTTTGTAGCTTCCTACAACAGAATTTAGTGAAGATCAGTTTTCCCACTTCACATCACCTGCATACATCCTCCATCCAGCTCAACTCCAACCGGGCTTCCCTCACTCGAATGCATAGGAAGGCTTATGCTCGATTATATCCAGTGATGTTGGTCAAGCAAGATGGATCTACCATTCGTATCAGATATAAGGAGCCTCGGCGGATCCTTACAGTAAGAAATTGAGCACAAACTCATTTTTAAAAATTGTTTTTATATTAATCCAGAAAGGTTTTATTAAGAGCCTACTATGTGTAAAATATTGTGCTGTGATTTGGGGTACAAAGACAAAAGAGAAGACAGTCCCTGCCCTCTAGGAGCTTACATTTTACTTGGGGGATACCTCATGCAAACAGATAAATATATCTATGATAATTAGAGAAGGAGAGAGAATGTACTAACAAAAGAATGAGGAAAGGCTTCCTCTAGGAAATGGTGCGTGAGCTGGGCCTTGAAGGAAGGCAGGGGTTCCAGAAGGTGCAGATCAGAAAGGAGCATGGGAGCAGTCTATGAAAAGACGTGGAGGCCAGGAATGGAGAGCTACAGTTGAGGAATGGCAAGAAGGCCAGTGTGGCTGGAACTGAGGGTATATGAGGGGAGCTGGAGGCAATACCCCTGGAAAGGCAGGCTGGAACCAGATTATGCAGGGTTTTAAATGCTAAGCAAAGGAGGTTGTATTTTATCCTGGAAGAAGCAGGAAGCCAACAAAGGTTCTCGGGCAGGGGAATGGCCCAGTCAGATTTGTGCTTTGGGAATGTTGTTGTGGCTGTCAAATGGAGGATAGATTAGAATGAGGAGAGACTAGAATTTGTAGGTCCAGTCAGGAGGTGACTGTCTCCTTCCTGGCAAGAAATGTAAGATACTGAATGAGAGTGACAGTCGTGTGAGTAGAGAGAAAGGAATAGCTGTGGAGGTGATGTGGAAGAGGTCAGATTGACAAGACTTGGCGACTGGTCAAATCTGGGAAGGGAGGGGGAAAGAAGAACCAAGCTTCTCTGAGGTGGCTGTACCCTCCCCGGAAATGGAAGGAGCAGGTTCTTGGGGGAAATTGAAAAGTCCGTTTTGGGGGTGTTGAGTTGGAGGTGCGTGCCTGGGGGGGACCTCAGAAGCCATCTCTCCTAATCCCCTCATTTTACAGGTGAGGAAACAGATCCCAGGGAAATGAAATGATTTGCCCAAGGCCATGTAAACAGAAAGCATCAGAGGCAAAATTTGAACCCAGGTTCTGTGGCTCCAGAGGGGTCATTTTTGTGCTGTACTGTTCTGATGTCTAATAGGCAGTTATTGATACAGAATTAGTGTTCAGTATGAAAGGCTGTTTATCCAGGTCTAGGAATTATTTACATAAAGATGATAATAGATGAAATCTCTGAAACAATGAGATAATTATACAAGAGAACTTTAGGGGAGTTCTAACCCCACAGGTAGGGCTGGGACATGATTGATCCAGCAATGGAGACTGAGAAGTCAGACAGAAGAATAACCAGGAGAAATCCTGAAAACTGAGGAAACCAAGTGTATCCAGCAGGAAGGAGGAGTCTCCAGGGTCCATGCTATGGAGAAGTCAAGAAATACGTGGTTTGAGTCTAGGCCAAAGGATATAGCAAATAAGATCATTGAAAACCCTGAGAGAACAGTTTCAGTTAGGTGCTGGGGTCTCAAGCCAGATTGCAAGAGGTTGATAAAAGGAAATGGCAGAGGAAGGGTGCAGGTGGCTTTTTTCTGGGCGTTTGGCTGTGAAATGGAGGTAGAGAGGCATCTCGATGATGACTTAGAGATTTATACTGGGCCCTGTGCTCTTCCACATTTTTGTCAATGATTTAGACAAAGGCATAGATGATGTGCTTATTAAATTAGAACATTGCACGACGCTGGGAAGGATAGCTGATAGGTTTGATGACACTCAGGATCTGAAAATCAACCAATAAATTGTGGAATGTTCAAGTGCCTGCTTTGTGACAGACCCTATGCTTGCTGCTGGGGATACAAAGACCATAGTTCAGCAATGCTTTATGGGTTATATCTGTGATTTGATGTGGAATAAAAAAGAAATTTAACAGAGATAAGTATGACTGTCTATGTTCGGGCTCAAAAATAAATTCACAAATTTAGGATGAAAAAGACAGGAGTTCTTGTGAGAGAGACCTGGGGCTTTAGGGTGTGGCAAACTCATTTATTTGAGTCCTCAGTGTGACATGGCAGTTGGAAAGCTAATGCCATTCTGAGCTCATGGAGACAGGCAGAGCACCCAGCATGAGGGAGCTGATCATTCTGCTGAGGTCTGTCCTGGTCACGTGACAGGTGAAGCACTGTTCTTGGTTGTGGGCACCACATTTTTAGAAAGATGTAGGTAAGCGGGAGCGCTGCAGAAGAAGATGAGACCAGGATTGTGGGAGGATGGAGGATGCACTGTCTGGGGAGTTGTGAAGGATGGGAGGTGTCTAGCCTGGAAGAGAGAAGACTGAGGAGGGTGATAGCTGTCTGCAGGAGTCAAGAGGGCTGTTGTGTAGAGAAGTGGTTACACTCATTCTGCTTGGCCCCAGAACAGCGGGACAAGAGGCAGAATTAGGCTGAATGGCAAGGAAAGCTCCCTAACGACTGGAGCCATCCAGAATTTAGTGGACTGCCTCAGGAAGAGGACCTCAAAGAGAGGCCGATGGACCACTTGTTAGGGGTGTTGTTGGAGGGATTCTTGTTCAGATTTCGGTGTGGAACGTGTGGCCCACAACATTCCTGAGTGTGGCTCAGCCAGATTAAAATGTAATTGAGAGAAGCGAGCAGAACCAGGAGAACGTTGTACACAGTAGCAGCCACACTGTGCAATGACTGACTTTGATATACTAAGCTCTTCTCAGCAATGCAGGGATCTAAGACAACTCCAAAAGACTCCCGATGGAAAATGCTGTCCACATCCAGAGAAAGAACTCTGGAGTCTGAATGCAGATGGAAGCATACTATTTGCTCTCCTTTTCTTTTGTTGTTTTGTTTTGATTGTACTTTCTCGTGGTTCCTCCCATTGGTTCTAATTCTTTACTTCATGACTAATATGAAAATATGTTTAATATGAATGTTTAGTAGACCTTATATCAGATTGCATGCCATCTTAGGGAGGAGGAGAAAATTTAAAACTCAGAATCTTATGGAAGTGAATTTTGAAAACTAAAAATAAGTAAATTGTTTTAAAAAGTTTTTTTTAATGTAATTGAGAAATATTTAACAAAATAAACAAATATATGGCAGCCAGATGGTGCAGTGGTTAGAGTGCTGGACCTGGAGTCAGGAAGACTCATCTTGCTGAGTTCAAATCTGGCCAAAGACACTTACTAGTTGTGTGACCCTGGACAAGTCACTTTACCCTGTTTGCCCCAGTTTCCTCATCTGTAAAATGAGCTGGAGAAGGAAATGGCAAACCAGTCCAGTATCTCTGCCAAGAAAACCCCAAATAGGGTCACAGGGAATTGGATATGACTATTAATAAGACTAAATGGCAATAGCGGATAAAAATACAGTAAAACAGATGACGTTAATATGTGGTTTTCCAAGTCCTGCCTGCCTGCAGGGATCCTTATGAACAGTTTAGTGGCTTCTGATTCTATTTGAATTGAACACCACCAGAACCCGGGACCTCTGGGGTCCCTTCCAACTCAGACAATCTGTGATTCTGCCACTGTTGTAAACTCTGACCTTCCTGTCTACATTCTTTCCCCACTTCAGACTGTCCTTAACACTTCTGCCAGATTAATTTTCCTTTACATAGATCTGTGTGTGTATCTCCTTTGTTCAAAACCCTTCGGTGATTCCCTGTTGCTTACTGAATAGAATTCATATTCACCCTTGCATTTAGGATCCTCCACAGTTTTGTAGCACCAGACGTTTCTTATTTATCTCATACTGCTTATGTCTCCATACACAATGGTCTGGCCAGATTATACTGCTGGCCTCTTCTTTTTATTGATATCTATATCTATATTCCCTTTTAAAAATTAAATTTATTTTAAGTGAACAAAAATCCATTTTCTCTTCTATCCCCTCCCCCCACACCATTGGGAAAAAGAAAATGAAACCTTTGTAACAAATATGCATAGGCAAGCAAAATACTTCCTTGCATTAGCTATGTCTGAATACTTCTCTGTTAAGAGGTTGTTACCATGCTTCTTCATTGGTACTGTGGAATCAGGGCTGGTCACTGTGATAATCAGAACTCTGAAGTCCTCCAAAGTTGCTTGTTTTTATAGTATTGTTATTGTGCAATTTATTGTACTTGCCTCACTCTGCCTCAGCCCATACAGGTCTTCCCAGGTTTCACGGAACTCTGCATTTTATCATTTCTTATGACAAAATAATACTCCATTACATTCATATACCGTCTGTTCAGTCATTTACCTGCCAGTAAATGGTCAACGGATATGACCAGGCAGTTTTCAAAGGAAGAAATCCAAGCTGTCAACAGCCATATGAAAAAGTGCTCCAAATCACTAATAACTGGAGAAATGCCACCTGAAGACGCTGTGATGTCCCACTTCACACCCAAGAGACAGGCAGAGTTGACAAAAATGGAAAATGACAAATGTTGTAGGGCAAAAACCTGGCACACAAATGCGCTATTGGCAGAGCTGTGAGCTGGCATGGCCAGTCTGGAAGGCAGTTTGGAAGCAGTCATTAAAATATGCATCTCCTTTGACTCAGCGATACCACAATTGGACCCATACCTCAGAGTTGTTTTTTAAAAAAAGGAAAAGGACCCGATAGACAGAAATCTTTCTAGCAGCTTTTTTTTTTATAGTGGTAAAGAGCAGGAAACTAAGATGATGCCCTTCAACTGCCATAATCTTTCCATTTCTCACGCTTTCCTGTCTCCATGACTTTATTCCCACTATTCCTTATGGCCTGATGCCTCTGCCTTATGCCCAGTAAATCCCTAGCCATCCTTTAAAGGTCATCTCACGTGCAGCTTCCTTAAGCTCTGTCTGCTTCTTCTCAGTCAATCATAACACTTTGCTAGCATCCCTCTTATGCATTTGTTAGCTAATATTTTGTATTAGATGCGTGTGTATGTGTGTCAAACCCCCTGCTAGACTATAAATTCTATGAAGGTAGAAACCACGACTTATTATTATAAGTATTAATCATAGATTTAGATCATAGATTAGAACCAAAAAGGACCTCAGAGGTCATCTAATTCAACCCCCTCATTTTACAGAGGAGGAAACGGAAGCCCAGAGAGGCTAAGTCATTTGTTCAAGGTCACTCAGGTAATTTTTGCATCCCTCCACATTATCCAGAACAATACTGTACACATTGTGGGCCCTTAATGTTTGTTAAATGAATGAGATTATATTTCTTTGGATGTATAAATTCTAGTGTGGGTGTTGTCTAAAAAAATCAGCTCTATTTCTTTATAGTGACCTCATAGGAGGAAGCTTTGGCTCAATACTGCTTCATAACAAAATGTTTTTCTTCTTTAATGTACATGCAGGCAATGACTGACAATTCTGATCTTCTCAAATAGGGTCATCCAAGACCTCCCTTTATAAACTCCCACTAATAAATGCTGCTAATGACAAGCTTATGAGCTCAGGCTAAAGAGCTAACATAGATTAATTCCTGCACTGTAGAACTAGTTGCTGCTGGAAGATCTTTTGTTTGATTCATAAATTAATATCTAATTAATGAGGTTTTTGAAATTTCAAATATCACGGAGGCTTTGCCACCCTGAGAATTCAGCTGTTGTCTGTGCTGTATTTTGATATCTTGTACTAGGAGAAGATCCTGAGGAAAGTAATAAAAAATAATTAAATGGGAAATAAATTGTATGAAGAAAGGCTAAATATACTGGGTTTATAGAGCCTTGATAAGAATTTGCTAAACAGAGGGTTTAATTACATTTCCCTGCAGGAATGAAATTGTCAGGGGTAGGCCAGAAGACTGTTTGTTGGGGATGACATAGAAGGGATTCATGCTTCAGTGCAGGTTGGACCAGATGGCTTCCAAGGTCTTTTCTGTCTCAGGATTATGATACTGAGTTTTCAGGATTTCATGCTGAATGATTACATCATTTGCTTTTCCGCATGTCTTTCAGATGCCAGTAGATATTGACACACTGTCGCCAGAGGAAAGAAAGATTAGACTACGCAAACGGAATCTGAAGTATGTTGAAGTGGAAAAAAAAGAGGCAGAATTTGGAGATGACTTCAATGTGGAACAATATGCAAAATTTTGGAAGAAAAACTGAACATGTTATGATGTTAAGATTGTATAAAGGGTGAGTGCATTTAATGCACCCAAATATATTACTATTTTTAAAAATTAAAAACTATAAAACCTTATAGTGATGCACTTATTTATCTTTTATGTGGATGGTTTTCCTAGAATTTTTTCCCTCCACTGCTTCTCTCTGATTCAGACCCTTGCCTTGACCTGAGGGGCAACTTCTGTGTGCATAGCAGTGGGAAATGAGGACAGATAATATGTGGCCCCTGCCCTCCAGGAATTTACAGAGGCAAAGATGAACCTGATTTCTTTTTAGGAGTTTCCATTTTCATAGGAGAGAGAAAATGTGCAAACAATAATCACAGTTTATATGCACAGTATAAAATATACACATTTGTTCCTGTTTTCTTGGATTCTTACAACTGTGTGAGATTCCTCCAGTGAGAATATGGGCCCAGGGAGGCAGTGAGTCAAACTGATCTCACCATGTATCTGAGGCTCTGAGGCTCTTTCCATCGATGACTCTCACATAGACAAATAGCCACCATGCAGGTAGAATGTGCTTAGTGCTAGGAAGGTAGGTTGGAAGGGAAGGTTGTTTTTAACAGAGGGGATCAGGGGAGACTTTATGGGAGAGGCATCATTTGAGCCAGACCTTGAGAGATGGGGAAGATTTCAAGAAGTAGGACTGAAGGAATGTCGAGACCAGTGAAATAGGGTTGAAAAGGTAGCATGAACCTAGTTGGAGGCCGAGTGCCAAGTTGTATAGAGTTTAAGAATTTGGTGGAGGACATGGAGCCATTGCAGGTTTTTGATAGAAGAGTGACCTCTTAGGGAGATTAATCTGGAAGCAGGGAATAGTAGGTGAAGTGCCAGCCTAGGGGTCAGGAAGACCCGAGTGCAAGGGTCATGTCTGATATCCTGTCTGTGTGATCCTGAGCAAATCATTTAACCTCTCAGTTTCCTAGGCAATTCTCTCTAGAAATTACAGAGAAGATGTAGATCTGTATTGGTTGGTAGAGGGAGTTTCCTTTCTCCTTCTGGCTGTGCTGCTGATTTTCCAGAATTCCACACCAGGCCTCAGCTTCATCCTCACCCTGGAACATCCTCAGTCATGCCAGCCCTCTTATCCTATTGGTGGATTCTTCCTGGGGCCTCCATTTTGGGGAATGCCCTAGGCGGCCAAACTTCATTCTCTTCCCAGCTGTGCTTCTGACTTTTTGGACTTTTTTTTTGGTTAGGCAGTGGGGTTAAATGACTGCCCAAGGTCACACAGCTAGTAAGTGTTAAGTGTCTGAGGCCGGATTTGAACTCAGATCCTCCTGTCTCCAGGGCCAGTGCTCTATCCACTATGCCGCCTAGCTGCCTCATGACTTTTTGGACTTTGACACCACAAACCACCCCACCCAGGAGGTATCTTCTCCCCTCCTCCACTCCTTTTTCAGCTGTGTTTTGTATATTATCTTCCCTTATCAGAATGTAGGCTCTTTTAGGGCAGGGATTATTTTTCTTTTTGCTTTAGTACAATGTCTGCCACATTTGTAGTTGCTGTTCAGTTATTTTCAGTTGTGTCGGACTCTTCGTAACCCCATTTGGGGTTTTCTTGGCAGAGATACTGAAGTGGTTTGCCATTTACTTCACCTGCTTATTTTACAGATGAGGAAACTGAGGCAGACAGGGTGAAGTGACTTGCCCAGGGTCACATAGCTAGTAAGTATCTTGAGCCCAGATTTGAACTGAGGAAGATGAGCCTTCCTGCCCCACACTCTGTCCACTGCACCCCCCAGCTGCCTGTGTCACATAGTAAATGCCACATAAATGCTTACCTTGCTAGTAAAATCACAGGTCCAGTGCAGAAAATCAGTGTATAAAGTAGATTGAATGAGAAGATAATATGGGCTGATAGAAGGCTATTATTGTATTTCTTAATGGTAAGTTTTTTACTTTTTTTTTTCATAATGATAACAGTGGTAGCAATGAATGAAAACCATAAATTAAGCACTTACTATGCTGAGCCTTGTGCTAAAGGCTGGGATTACAAACACAAAAGACGGTCACTGCCTTCAAGAAGCTCACAGTCACAGAATCCCAGAATTTGAGAGTTGGAAGGGACGAAAGTGACCGTCTAGTCTAACCCATACATAAAAAGAATCTCCATTCTAATAGGAGACAAGACAAAGGGGAGGGGTGACCAGGTATGTATGAGCTGGGTTCTACAAAATTGTAAAAATAATGAATGGAACAGGAGGGCAGTGAGTTGACACGCCCTTTCCAGAGACCAAGGTAGAGTTTATTTGATTACAGTCCTCAGAGCAAGAGGAGGCAGGAGCAGAGCATGCCCCCTCCCCGGGCAGTTTCTGGTGATCTGATTGAGAGGATGGAGCAGAAGCAGCAGCAGCCTCAGAATAGAAAATGGAAGTGGGAAGATGAGGTCACACAGTCCAAGAGAGTACAAAGCTAAGTGGGATAGAGAGAAGGGAGAAGAATTACTGAGTTGTAAATTTATAGTAGGCAATTGCTGATGGAGGAGTAGAGCTCTGGGAAGAGACTAAGGCAATATATAGAGTTGTATGAATCACCCACATAGAGATTATAATGAAAACAATGGGAGATAAGATCAAGAAGGAGTGTAGAGGGAGAAAAGGGCCCAAGACAAAACCTTAGGATAGACTTAGAGACCCAACATGGATGATGAGCCAGCAAAAGAGAGTGAGGGACAGTGGTCAGAGTGGCAGGAAGACAACCCAGAAAGGAAGAACTTTGTGGGAGGAAAGCAGGGTGAACAGTGCCAAATGCTACCGAGAGATCCCAAAGGATGAGTACTGAAAAAAGGCTACCATACTGGGCAGTCAGATCACTGGTAAATTTGGAGAGAGCAGTTTGTTGAGTGATTAGATCAGAAGCCAGATTACAAGATTTGGGTTGAGGGAGTTAAAGGAAAGGAAAGTATAGGCAATGAGTATAGACAACTTTTTCTAGGAATTTGGTTAAGAAAAGGCGAAGGGATGGCTTGGGGGGATGGTAAAGGCTAGCTGAGGTTTTTTGCATTTGGGGTAACAGCCACTTTTGTAGGCATAAGGGAAGGAATAAGTAGATAAGGAAAGATTGAAGATTAGAGAGAAGGGGAAAATTCGGTTGCAATGTGCTGGAAGAGGTGGGAGGGGAGGGGATCGAGGTCATAGGGAGAGAGATTGGCCTTTTTGAGAAGGATCACCTTGTCAAAGACAAGGTGAAATATCTGAGAGAATAGGGGATCTTATTGAGATAAGAAATGGAGAAAAAGGAGCAAATGATGTTAATTTTCTCAGAAAAGTTAGAATCCGGAGGTGAGAGAGAAGGTAATGTTTGGGATATCTTCTGTGGGCAGTAGGATAGGAAGGCAATTAGAGAGGAGTAAAAGGATTGCTTTGCCATAGTAAGGGCTTAGTTGGGTTTCGATAACATAAATTTGATGGGCAGCTAGGTGGTGTAGTGGATAGAGTGCCCGGCCTCTGTCGAGTCAGGAAGACTCATCTTCGTGAGTTCAAATCTGGCTCTGGATACTTCGTACCTGTGTGACCAGCAAGTCACTTAACCCCGTTTGCTCATCTGTAAAATGAGCTAGAGAAAGAAATGGCAAACCACTCCAGTATCTTTGCTGAGAAAACCCCAAAGGGGGTCACAAAGAGACAGGCATGACTGAAAAACGAGTGAACAACAACAAACAAACAGATTTGTAGTATACCCAGTAAAGTCCGTTATGTGACTTCCTCTGGCTCTATTCACCGGCTCATGAGGAGGAGTGATTAAAGTGAGGCGTGCAAGAGATGAGTGGCCAAATTTCAAGGCATTAAAGAGCCCACAGGGAAGCTGAGATAATACATAAACCAAAAGGCAAAGTAATAAGTAATAAAAAGCAAGACTACAAAAGAAGCCCATGACAAGTGCCAAATGGATGATTTAGTCAATATGATGGAAATATAGAAGGGAGACCAGGACTGAGGGAGGCCTGAGTGTGGCCTGAGGTGGTGTGGGAAGGTTTCATTGAGGAGATGGAACTTGACTGGACCTTTCTCAGAAGTTACTAATGATCTCTTAATTGCCAGTTTCTCAAGCTTCATTTTCCTCCACTTCTCAGCAGCCTTTGACAGTTGATCACCCTCCCCTCCTTGATACTCTGTCCTGGTTCTCTTCCTTCCTATATGACCATTCCTTCATTGCATTTGCTGGATCCTCTTCCAGATCATGCCCTCTGACTAATTGTGGGTATCCCTCAGGGTTCTGCCCTGGGCTGTCTTCTCTTCTCCCTCTATACCTCTTCACTTGGGGATCTCATCAGCTCCCATGGAATTAATTACCATCTCTATGCTGATGATTCTCAAATCCACCTTTCCTTCCCCAATCTCTCTGCTGACCTCCAATTTCACATCTCCAGCTGCCTTTCAGAAAACTCAAACTGGATGTCCAGCAGACATCTTAAACTCAATATGTCTAAAACAGCTCATTATCTTTCCCTCTAAACCCTCCTCCCCACCCATTCCACCTTCCCTATTACAGTAGAGGGCACCACCATCCTCCCAGTCCCTCAGGCTCCCAACCTAGGAGTCTTCTGGACTCTTCAACATCTCTCATCCTCCATATCCAATCTATTGCCAAGGCCTGCTGATTTCACCTTTGCATTATTTCTTGAATACCACCCCCTTCTCTCTTCTAACACTGCCACCTCTCTATCGCAGATCCCCATCACAACTACAATAGCTTACTGCTGGCCTGCCTCAATCAATTCTCCATTCAGCTGCCAAAGTGATTTTCCTAAAGTACAGGTCTGGGGCAGCTAGGTGGCACAGTGAATAGAGCACTGGCCCTGGAGTCAGGAGGACCTGAGTTCAAATCTAGCCTCAGACACATAACACTCACTAGCTGTGTGACTCTGGGCAAATCACTTAACCCTCAATTGCCTCACCAAAAAAAAAAAAAATATATAACATTTGTTTAGGGGCAGCTAGGTGGCAAAGTGGATAGAGCTCTGGCCTTGGAGTCAGGTGGATCCGAGTTCAAATGCGACCTCAGACACATAACACTTACTTGCAGGGTGACCCTGGGCAAGTCACTTAACCCCATTTCCTAACAAAAAACAAAAACAAAACAAACGCTAAAGTACAGGTCTGACTATGTCACGCCCCTACTCAATAAACTCCAGTGACTTTCTATTGCCTCTAAGAAAGGCTGTGTGTGGCATAAAAGCCTTTTGTAACCTAGCCCCCTTCTACCTTTCCAGTTTTCTTACACCTTACTCTCCACCATGTACTCTTCAATCCTGTGATACTGGCCCCTCCTGGCTGTTCCACAGTCAAGACCCTCCATCTGTCAGCTCCAGAAACTCTCTGGCTGTCTCCTGTGCTCTTCCTCCTCTACTCCACCTATCTACTTCCCTGGCATTAAATTCCAACTAAATCCCATCTTTTATTGGAAGTCTACCCCAACCCCCTTAATTCTAGTACCTTCCCTGAGTTAATTCAATTTGTTTGCCTGTTGTTTCCCCTACTACCCCCGAACTCCTCAAGGACAAAGACTGTCCTTTGTCTCTTTCTGTATCCCCACTGATTAACACAGTGCCTGGCACATAAAAGGTACTTAATAAGTGTTTATTGACTGACTTCAGGAGTGGATTTGATCAGTGGGGAAAGTTGAGGAAAACACTCTGGCCATCTTGCCATCAGCCCTGCCAGCTTCTAAACTCCGGGCCAGAAACCATACTCTGAGGATTAAATCTTTTTAGCTCTAGAACTCCTGTCTTGTGGCCCCATTGTTCTGATTGTGAATGCCTCATTGTATTCCTCCATGCTTCACTTTACACCCTGGCAATCCACCCTAACTCCCTCATTCCCTTCTTCCAGCTCTGGAACCATACTCAATACTGCCATCGCTACTAGAAAGTGTGTCGATGTACTCCCCTCTAGCTCCACTCATCATCTTTGTGACCTTCCAAATCAAATGTCCATCCTTAGCTGCCACACCCTCTTATGTGTTGTCACCCCCATAAGAAAATAAGCTTGTTTTTGTATTTCTATATCTAGCCCTTAGAAGTGCTTTGCACTTAGCAAGTACTTAATAAATGCTTTAGCATTCATTCATTCAAAAAATTAAGACTGTCAACAATTTTTTTTTAAAAGGGAAAGGGGAGAGAATACAGGGAGAAGCAGCACAGAGGCAAACAAGAAGGATGTGGGCCTGGCAACACCCATGGAGGCCACAGCTGACTGACCATGAAGGGGTGTGAAGGGCTATACAGAGCACTCAGTGACTCATACATCCCATTGTGTCATTCATGCCCTCATAGCCAAAGGACACCCATCCATAACAGCCCCAGAGCCCTCTGGCCATTGTCCTTTCTTCCTGAAAAGTGAAGCACCCTTATCCTAGAAGCCGAGATTTAGAAATGGAGACAACTTTGGAGATCATGTAATTCACCTAGTCTGCCTCCAAATCTAACACTCCTGATGTGGTGGTATTGTGGTGGTCTGAGAGGTTGAGACCCCTCAAAGACTGAAGTACAAGATGGGGTCATCTGGAATGAAT